GCGCTGTTTGCCAGTCAAATAAATACATCACAAGGAACTGTCGAGAGCCTGGAATACCAACCTATTTTCTAGATCTATTCTTTTGAATAAGTGACAAACTAAGCATCTATGGTTCAATGCCGCAAAGTGTCCGAGGAACGGAGAAGAACGTAATTATATATTTTTTTAAATAAAAACATCGATCTGTGTTGCAACCAGCCAAAATATCACCTGAACTACTGATCCGTGAGACAGACAACGACTAGCCTCAACATATATGTGCATTATGCATACAGTGAAGCGCGATGGTGGTCCGTCTTGATTGTCCAGCTCAGCCACGGCTCATACGTTTGGGTTAACGTCATACTTAATATAGCCCTATGTGTCCATTCTCATATTTAGTTTCTTTCTCATGGACGGGATTGATAGATACGTTTTAATGGCGCCTTTATGACGGCCGACATTCCCGAGAATCGAGAAATGACTCTCAAGATACTTGCATTTTACGAACCCAGTCAGCTATGACCTTATTGAAATTATTGTGGGTCATAAAATTGACAAAGCGACAAAGATTGATGTCGTATAAAACAAAGTGGGAGCGAGGTGGCCCTTTCATGTGGTTCGTGTGGGAGCTTGTTTTCTATCAGCTGACTTACCCCCGTGGACACTGACATCTACATTAAAACGCCCCGAAGTCACATTCTTTCAAACGACTTTACAGCTTACCGTTTTGAAAACCTTACATTGTATCTGTCCTGCTAGGTGATGCATACATAAAATTCCTCTCTTGTGTGTATTGTGCGATTTCAGTGTGTGTATTTTAAGTGGGATTTTGATATTATCATTATTTAATTTAGCATGTTTATCAATTTTGTTGTCATCAGCAATATCTTTAATATATTATGATATCAGTATTGTTAAACGATTGAATAGTTTGAATAGTAATACAAGAATTGAGCACTGAATGTTTGTATGTGAAATATGGCAAATTAATTATAAGAGAGATAAGTTTATCGCAATTAAAATGAAAAGGGTTTAGTCCGTTTCAGGTTTGCGTATTGATACACGTAAAGAGTAATTTAGCGGATAATGTAAACTGCAGTCTTGGTACGTCGTAACCTGTATGCACGTATTGGTATTACAATATCATATATGCTGTTTCAGACACGAGGGAAGCTGCATTTGTCTACGCAATTACGGCCGCCGGCGTGGTGTTTGCCGTGACGGAGGCGTGCAGCACCGGGCGTCTGCTCCAGTGTACCTGTGATAACAACATACGGGACGTTGCTACTGATGGCGAGTGGGTATGGGGCGGATGTGGAGACAATGTAGAGTTCGGCTACCAGAAGTCGAGAGAATTCATGGATGCCAGACGTCGCAAGAAGCGACGGGGAGACGTCACAACTCTGATACAACTGCATAATAACGAAGCTGGAAGACAGGTATACAAACGACGTACATGTCAACAATCTCATAACGACGGCCCTTTTGGCTCAATTAACCTGTCAAAATTTTCCAAAGTAGTACATTTGTGATGATGATATGACTTTCATCATGTTTGACAACTCGTGATCTTTCTGCCTTTCTCTACTTGTGTTGTGTTTAGGCACTCAAGCATGGCTAAATTATGCAGGATAATCTAACCACGAGCAAGTTCGTAGCCAGATATGTCTTTTCTAGCATGTTTGACATGTCTTCATCTACATCGCCTTAGCACTTATCGGCTGGGCTCAAGAACCTCCTTCTGTTCACACATTTATAACATGCTTCACGAAAAACCTCAAAAATCTGCCTTTTCGATACCTTTTAGCCTGACCTGTACTCTTTCCTAAAGTTCTAAAGGATGTGATTTAGGGTTTAAAAAGGGTGTAATCATTACGAAAATATACTAATCAAACTGTCCTATTTGTTTTCAATATGCGCAGTTTTAAGAGGTTATCTTTGCAAAAAATCTTAAACTTGACGTTTTACGTGTGTTGTTTTTTTCCCAGGCCGTTACCAGCCACATGAGAAAGGAATGCAAATGTCATGGCTTGTCTGGATCGTGCACGCTCAAGACGTGTTGGAGGAAGATGCCTGTGTTCAAAACAGCCGGTGATGTTCTTAAAAAGAAATTCGATGGTGGAGCTAAAGTTATAATAACAAATGATGGCAAAGGACTAATACCCGAGGGGGACACAATAAAACCTCCTGCCAAGGACGACCTGGTCTATTCAGAAGAGTCACCCAATTTTTGCAAAAGGAGCAAAAGATTGGGATCGTTAGGGACAAGGCATCGCGAATGTAACCCCGACTCCCAGGATGTCAGTGGATGTGACCTGATGTGTTGTGGTCGCGGATATACCAAAACGGAAGTGACCGTAAAGAAGAACTGCAAATGTCAGTTTATTTGGTGTTGTGAGGTTGAGTGTGAAACATGTGTGTCGGTGGAGACGGTATATCGTTGTTCCTGACACGCGAAGCATTAAACCACGGGTCATACCCGTCTGTGCTATGACTAGCGGCATTAGTAGAATATTGTCAAGTGTCTACCACCAGTGCCTTTATAACAGTAGGACCAGCATGAAGCAGAGATGGACTTGATACTGTGAGAACGGCGCTGGGAATCCTGCCATGTGTTACCGCTTGTTATCATGTCCTGATGACGGGCACTATAGGCACCCCTGACAATATATTCCTTCCACTGTGTCCACGGGACGAGAATAGTTAGGATATTGTGTCTGCTTTAGTGTTGTACATAGGCTGCATCTTTCAAAACAGGCTTTCCATCAAGCTATATAGTGCCAGACTGAGAGAAAGGTGGGAATAGTGCCATTGGGAAATGATATTTGCTTTGTTAAGATTTGCATTTGCTTTCTTTTACTCGTGATGTCAATACTACTGCGAGGTGTAATGTATGTTGGAGATTTACGGTAAAGGGCTGTGAATGTAGGAAATGTAGAGGTAATATGTATTAGCATATCAGATACGTGTAATTATATGTAATTGTACAGTTTAAACTGGATGGCATTTTCTGCCTCATATATTGCATTAGTAATTTCCCATGCTTAGTTTTTGACCTAAAGACTTAGTACAGTACGGAGCCAAAGTTCCTCATATGTGCTTTTGTCAGGTCGTTTTGTGATCTGGAGCTTTCAACAACGCCACTAATGTTGTTGTGTTGTAATGCTTTATTGTACATATTGATTAATTACATCGATGTTAAGCTGTTAATTGATGTTCCACAGGAATCTCATTGCACAATAAAATAAATCAAATGATACATGTAAGCCCATATTCTTTCCCTTCAATTGAAGGTTTTAACTTTCTCTTCACAACAAATAGTTTCATTATAATTGTCTTGGCTGTGCCATACACGTGAAACAATCACCAGCACCCTCTTTCAGGAAATATAACCAAGAAGATCAACACATGACAATATATCTGCCGAGAAGACAATTAGTTGTGATTACCATGAAAAATATGGCGCAGTGCTTGAGGTTGTTTGCGTGTGAAGCCATACCATTCCACGGAAATACTAAGGTTTATGGCCTATAAACTTTAATAAATTGTTATCAATGCAGAAATACGGGTATCCACAATGAAAATGACTGGATTCTTTTTAGAGAAAATTATATTGTTCCAACTGAAGGTGACACTTCGACAGAGTCATATTTTAATTTTTTCTTTAAACGTTTGATGCTGATCAGGTATGAAGTAGAATTTTGAATTCATAAATGCCTGATATAGGTGCCTCTACACAAATAATGTATTACTCTATCATAGCGTCAAGCTCCATGGTTAATTTGTCTATTCTATGAAATATTTGACTGCAATGAAAATGTTCATAGGATTTCTAAGGATTGAAAGTATTTTCATGAATTCGAGCAGTTACATAGTTATATAGACCCCACGACCAATCACATGCACATTGCCATTTTGATACACTGCAAGCTTGATCGCAATATTCCATTACAGTTTATTAGTTTTCTATCATTTGGTTCATGATCTGTAGGGAACATACTACACACTGATTTGTTTAGCATCAGAAAGAAAAGGTAGGCATATAACTAAATGGCAACTGTTCAGAAACGAGAAATCATAATGGAAACACTGTATGATAAATCTATAACGTTTTTCTCGAGTTCATTGTCGAGTAGGTAACTTCTTAGAGTTGTTTAGGAAAAGCTAGGTATTAAATGACGACAACACAGTGAAAGCCTGTGTGCTTTGTTACTGTCACTGAATCCAAAATCCAGGGGAACTACTCAATATATATGTCATAACCTGTTGGTTTGAATTGGCATTATCTGAAGCCTAAACTGTGCGTTATCTATAGGAAATTGAAAGCACATTGTACATACTGTATTGATACCGTATTGGTTCCGTAAATCTTTCTATTGCTCCAAACATCAATAGAGCACTGTATTCTAGCAGAACGAAAGAAGCCTGTAAGTGTGGTGGGATATTGTTGTATGAGGATTATACAATCTGAAGACATTTGAAGCGATCTGGACATTCTGCTTTTCACGAAGACTGTGCACATATGTATTTATGGTAGAAAACTTGTTATAATTTGATATTATCACATATATAATGAGACAAGCACTTTTAGACTACCTGCTGCTGATGGTGCGTGTAGGTACTTTCCGACACTGGGAAGAGGAACTGTCGTGAGAAGGATCACAGGAGACAAAGGGCAATGAATAATATATACTACAGGTCAATTGACAGGACAGACAGAACCTGGATGCCAAGAACCCAAACAGGAACTGGTATTAAGATACGTGAATAGGATTTTACGTCTCTTAAATATTCTTCACCCACACAATTTAAACGTATCATTAACGTTTCAAGATTAGAATACTCACTCTAAATACGGTTTGAAATCATGAAATCATTATGTTGACACTCTCTTTGAACACCATACCTAAGTGCCACATGGACCTATTTGTCTCCAAGAGCAAACGGATAATGATATTATGTGTAAATGGTCACCGTTGGTTCTCTGCCCATAGCAATATTTCAACTCAAACTAGGAGTTATTCAAACATAATTTATTCTTTTGAGTCAATATGATTTACATCTAACTCGAACGTTTGTACATTAGTTCGATTAATATGTTGGATCATGTAAGTAAAACATACGACAGACACATGAATATGGGGTCATGTATCTTCCTACTACTGGACAACACCAACACACGCTGCATCAGGATTTGAACAGGTGTAATTCACTCAGTTGAACCACTTGCATAGTAATACATGTAGTACAGTATTTAAGGCAATGGACCACACGTCTCAGTGTCAGGACTGCTGCATTTCAGGTTGTTGAACAATTGATATCAGTGATTATATTGCTGATTCACAAAACTTTTAGTAGTTAATTATTCCATACACTTGACATGGCAACAACGTTGTGCGTATGTGTATTGTTCTGAATACATTTAAACTGTTCTAGATCATGTATCCACTCAGCACTAAACCTAGGATACAATTCAGCCAAGCAATGTACTGAACAACCCATAGTGAATACGTTTACATGAGAACATGGAAGTTCGCCCAAGACATACATGGTCATGGCGTAGAACATACAGCAGACTGTTCGTATCCTGGGAACACTTCAGATGGAAATCCACATGGAAGTCAATATTATGTACAAAAGAAACATACGGCATGGCACTTCAGAAAGGGTGTTAAAACACAAGTGTGATATAATAACAATGTTTCTTGAACATACTGTCAATTATCTTGACATCACGAACCGTTGCTGTCACTGGTACGTTAATGCGTTATGCAGGCGGGTGGCTCTAGAGACAGCTGTGTCTGACCTTTGTACGTGTACAAGTCTTGCACTTCACATGACAACACCAGTGAAAAGTACAGCTGCAGCGTTCTTTAACTATGTACTTTTCTGTCGTATGGCCACGCCCACAACACATCAGATCACAACCGTCAACTCCAATAGAGGTGGCATTGCACTCACGACCAAGCGTGCCCTGAAATCCGATAACATTATCCTTTTCGCAAAATGATGGTGAATTCTCAAAGTAGACAAGATCGCGTCGACCTGGTTTCTTATGATTTAGGTTTACTGGATTGAAGTTGAACCTCCTTCGCTTGCGGCCACGACCACGCCCTTTGTTCCCTGCAAGTGGAGATGTTAGAATTAAACATTTTGGTAGTTACAACTGGCATATTGTCATTAATAGAAGATCATATAAAAACAACAAACCCATGGTTCGTCTGTAGAAAAGGTACTGCATAGTGATTCATGGGGGTAACTCTCTCCGATACAGAAACCTTGAGACACGGACATGTCTTATCGGTTCATGTCCCTTCGCCATTTCTGTCTGAAAAGTTGACAACGTCTGTTCCTGTGGGGAGTTTGGGTACTTTTTAAACACAGCATTGGACGGAAGGAAGAGGTGATGTCTTGCATGTTATAGTTGGGTCACCAAATCAGTATGTCACCAGGTTCCATTTGACAAAAATAACTTTATTAGAGAGTGCATGCTGTCTAATATTGTCATCACATACATTCAACTTGTCTCAAGGTGGCTTGAAAATACCTGAGTCCGATCCATACCACTGCTTGAAAGTATTAGCAGCGAGTCCCTCCAATAGGGCATGATACCAAAATACCAAACTCGACACCAAGCTTGTGCACAATACCCTCGACAAGGAGAGCATACTGTCTACCTGCTATTTTCCCCCAAATCGCAGCAGGTCATGTGTAAGACAGATGCAAATGATTTTGTCAGTATCCTATTGTGTAGTATCAGGATATGTTGAAACCAAGCACACTACAAAAAGCGTCACATCAATGGATTTGATCCTGTTTCATTTAATAAAAGCTGCATTGATATGTCAGTTACACATAATCTAGTTTTAGAGTAGTTTACTCCTGCTGGGACTAGAGACCGTGCTTCAATTGAGCTGAATCTTGTTACAATAAGAATGTAAATAAGATGCATGAAATACGTTATGTTACGCTGTTTGACAGAAAGCCTACGATTATACCACTACATGGTTCTACTCGAACTTTGCACGGGCATATGTCAGAAATGTTTAAAATTATGTCCCCGAGCAAGGACCCTAAAGCCTGACAATGTACATGCCTTGACATGCCATAATTTAATAATCGTGGATTCCAAACCCATACACCCGTGAAGATCCGGGTTAGAATTGGTCTTCAGTAACCTATGTTTGAGGCGAATAACGGGATTGAGTGATCAGGCTCGCCGGTCTGGTTCACACATGTCATCGTATCCCAATTACGTAGATCGATGCTCATGCTGTTGATCACTGGATTGTCTGGTCCAGACTCGATTATTTACAGACCGCCGCCATATAGCTGGAATATTGCATGGTGCGACGTTAAACAACCAACCAACCAACCAAACCCATACAGCTCCTACTTGTGACCTTAAGTTTCTTAACAGCATACACCCCATCGCGAGAAAGAAACTGACAAAGCAAGTTTTAACCTTATGAAGTTGCGATTAAATACTGCTCTATGCAGTGTAAACGGAAATCATTCACTCGCAATCGTGCAATCTAATGCTAAGTTTCGTCCACACACAACTTGCAGAGGTATTGAAGAAACAAGTGTAGAGATGCAATAGAACAGAAGGTCGAAGAGTAAGCGGAACTATGGTGTAACCACAAATCACGTACGTTAGGAAGGGACAAGGGGCACATTACCCTAACCAAACGGCAAAAACTTGAAATGTTAGGCGTTCAAAAACTAATTTCATTTCCCTAGAGAACCTATACTGATCTCTTGAATTGGAAATTATCAGATTAGATATAAGGATGTAGCGCTTTTTATTGTTTTATAAAAAGAAATAAAGAAAATGTTCCCAATTTTCTTCCGCTGAAACACCAGAGACACTGACACCTCGCTATTTTCTTTGATTTACAAGCGCCTGAATCGCAGGCAATTTCTAACGAAACAAGAGTGTACAATAAATTACATAAACATGAAAAGTTGAATTTTTATATATTGGTCATCCACCAAAACCTGCAAATGGCACCGGCATAACACCATACTATCTCAAACCTGCAGAAGAAAAAGATAAAACAATATATTTATACCACGATTCATTAGGCGATGGGATACAACATCGTTGACATCGTGTGGCAAGAAGCTGGGCAGTTCAATTGACCTGCCATGGATGAGGGTGTGTCCTTCAATTTCATTTAGGAAATATTTTGTAGATCCTGCGGGATGTTGGGAAACTATTAGATTCCTTTATTTAAGATTTGTTTATAATTACCGTATCTTTATTCATCGAGAAAGCGATATGTGACATGGGACTTTTGTTGAAGACCCAATCTTCTTACTGCACTGAGACATACCCATCGTTGTTTGAAGTGGAAAGAATGTTAAGTTTGACAAGAAAACTTATGATTAAATAGACATTTTATGGCCATCATTAAAATGAAGTATGTTGAGAACCCACACGAATGATACGTGAGGAATGTTTTGGCGTTTGATCCTGTTTAAAATAAAATATAAAATTATGTATTTATATACTGCTTGTAATTTTAAGGTACAGTGTGAATAAAGAGATACATGATTAACCATCCAAATATTAATTGTAGAAAACGAGCAATTCCGATGACTGCAATAAAGTTGGGACTCTTTTAAAGGTTTCATTTTTATCAAAGTGTCAGAAAATATATCCTTGTCGTGAATTCAGATTAACTTGATCGTCAGTAAAATACACCACTGCAGCATTTAAGACAACTATGTAATTTCCAATATTATATTGATCTCAAACACATTACAAAACGTGTCTGGTGGTGATTCGCTGGTATATGAGAAGAAATGGCCCATTCACTATAGTTGGAAATGAGTTTTTTACCAAAGCCTTGATTCCTGCAATGTTCAAGGGATTGTGTGAGTCAGTGAGTTAATTTCTATAATAAATGATGACTCACTATCAGGGTAACGTATTTTAGCGTTCGTAAAGATCATTAAGATCAATACAACGTTTGCAGTTTGTGTTTTTCTCGTCTTTCCTGGGCACAAATGAGTTGTGACAGACATTTAGGATATCTCTTGACCTGTAGTCGTGACATACGTTGAAAAATGAATAAGTGCCTAGTCCTTACATTGGGAGAAAATATGTTCCATGGAGCTACAGGGGCATATACGCAAAATAGTACGAACGTGTGCTGGAGCATTGCCAAATATTTGAATTAAATTGAATGGATAGTTTTCATTGCTGAGCTTGCATATTGGTTTACTGGAATGTGAGTCCATTTATATATCCTGTTCAGTCTTTAGAAGATGTCATAATATATGGATTTGCAGTCAAAATGGAGTTTTGCGATCACATTGCATAAGCTGAATTTAAAAGTAATGATTCAAGTGCGTTTTATTGCGTTCAATGAGTAAACTCCTAAAGTTAGGTGATGATGTTGTTCCTGTGTTACACATGCTGACACATATTTGTGTGACATCGTGTGTGATTGGCCAGAGTTCACCGGGTGGCACATGGCCATGTTGATCGCTTCGTGCAAGAGCACTAGACATCAAACTAGAATAGGATAATTCATTCTTACAAAATAATCCGCAGGACGGTCAATTGATATGTCATGACTACTCATTGAATCTATATGTCATGACTACTTGTTGAAGAGGTATATCTTGACTACTCGTTGAATGGGTATGTCATGACTACTCGTTGAATGGGTATGTCATGACTACTCGTTGAATGGGTATGTCATGACTACTCGTTGAATGGGTATGTCATGACTACTCGTTGAAGAGGTATGTCTTGACTACTCGTTGAATGGGTATGCCTTGGCTACTCGTTGAATTGATATGTCTTGACAGTCGTTGAATTGATATGTCATGACTACTCGTTGAATTGATATGTCTTGAGTACTCGTTGAATTGATATGTCTTGACAGTCGTTGAATTGATATGTCATGACTACTCGTTGAATTGATATGTCATGACTACTCGTTGAATTGATATGTCTTGACTACTCGTTGAATTGATATGTCTTGACTACTCGTTGAATTGATATGTCATGACTACTCGTTGAAGAGGTATGTCTTGACTACTCGTTGAAGGGCATGTCATGAATAGCCGTTGCAGGAGTATGTCATGGCTACGCGTTGAAGGGGTATGTCATGACTACTAGTTCAAGGGGTATGTCAAGAGTACTTGTTGAAGGGACATGTCATGGCTACTCGTTGAAGGGTGTGTAAAGTCACAGAACAGAGATATTTATAATAGTACATAAGTAACATTTGAAAGATCCATTATATTATAATAGAATTAGTTACGCAAACGTTATATCACACGCAATGTAATTAAGGAACTGTTTGTATGTGTGTTAAGAATTCTCAAGTGAAGACCCCTAATCCATTAACAGAATTCATAATTCATGGAAATTTTCATTCCAAACTAAATTGTGTCATTAAATGTTGCTTAAAGTTTCGTTTAGCAAAAAGGGGTAATTGATTCTGTAGATTTTGTTTTGGTAATGCACATGCTCTGAAAATTCTACCTGCATCATTACCCTGAATATTAACATCAGGAGGGGAAGCATTTTGTCTTCGCTGGAATTGTGGAAACAATCCTTCAGTTTAGTTTAGTTTTTTGTAATACTGTTCTATAAAAAAAAGAATATAAAACATGAAAATATATGTCAGTATGGTTTTACACTCTGTCATGGAATTTAATGTGTTCGTGATATTATGTACTATCGTAACTTTCAATATGTCCAGTTGTGTACAGACGAACTGTTGGGAGTTAGCAGATCAGGTCAAAACCCATTCGTGACCATGTGCTTCAACCCATAATTGCAAATTATAAGTGTTGTATATATTCGCTCACTTAATCCATAATGTGGTGAAGCTACAGTACAATATAAAATAGACTTATATTTCTATTGTAATTTAGCAGACCCCTGACAATTAACCTTTCTTAATGCTTTGTATTTGGTAGAAAGGTGTTGATTTTAAGTTATGTTGTATGTTCTATACCTGACTAAGCGATAAGACCAACCTCCTTAATTGTATAAACGCCGTCGTGACTTGTGATTGAAGAACGTAGTCAGAAAGATCTATCATCTCCTCTACGGGTGGATTTGTCTGTTACATGTCGCTACAGGAAGGTACATA